CTACAAGCTGCATCGTCTGTCAAGGGAGAAAGGATTACCCTGCCTCTCTTGGGGAGACTCGTGCCCGTGTAGTGTGAACAACTCTGCACGAGCACCTAAGGAGGCTTACCTCCTTAACAGCCCGTGGTGGCGCGTACGTATCTCTACTGAGATGTACGAAGGGATTGACAACTTGAAATCCCTTTACGACCGTGCTGGGAAGACTTTCTCCGGCGGTCCTTCTGCGGTACAGGATGTGCCGCGTCGTACTGCTCAACCAGACCCAGTACGTCAATCATCAGTTGGGAGCGGGGCTCCCAAGAATCCCAGGACGGGGGATAGCCGCGCCACCGGACGAGATAACTCGTCCGACGTCCGTCCACGTCGCGGTGGTTCAACAGCTGCTCAACTAGATAGCGCTGGCCACCGCGAGAGTCCTCTAATGGAGGTGGAGGAGGAGGAAAGACGCTCTCCACACGATCATGTGGATCGGTGTGTTCCTGAGAGCTTCTTTGATCGCGTAACGCAAGGGTTACGCGACAATCTCGAGCATGAGCGGAATAGGCGTCTCCAAATGGCGGACACTGCCTTGAAGCATCGAGCTGAGTTTGCCTTTGCTCAGCTCGAGAACGAGAGATCTCTGACATCTCTTCGTGACGAGCTAAGGGTAGCTCGTGTGGATATTGACCGGTCTCGGGCTGAGATAGCTGCTCTTCAGACCCTTGTTGATGCCCACCATCGGGAGCACAAGGCTCTCTGCGAGATGCTTGAGCGCAAGGGCGTTCGTCATCGGAAGAAGCAGCGTAATGATGGTACGGCTTAAGCCGACCAACGTAAAACGTGGGACGCGTTCGCATCTTACGTGGTAACTCGATCGTGTATGCATTGCCTAGGCGGTGCAATACACGAAATGGGCCAATGTACTTGGGTAGTAGTTTACTGCTACCTAAGTTAGTCACTACATGCTTTGGTAGATTAACCGTAGACAGTAGGACTAAGTCACCTTTACTAAATAAAAGAGTGTTTGCCCTTCCATTCTTGTCAGCGTTTTGCTTTTGCTTATCCACCGCTTCGGCGATGGAGTCTTGCACAAAACGGACAACCGTTTCACGAGCCAGTATGAACTCATCTGATGACTCGTTAGCTTCAGTGTGCTGTGAGCGCACTGCAGCAACATCAACCTTTTCTTCAGTGAGGGCTTCCCGCACTCTCACTGGGATCATTGTCTTCAGTGAGGGCTTCACTCTCTCACTGGGATCATCTTCTTCGATATCGATGTTATCGATATCGGCATCAAACGCAATGACTTCTTCGTCAGAGCGTGATGAGCGTGAACCAAATCGGTTTTTGATCGCGCGAGTCCCTCCCCCCTTAAACCAGAGTTACACTCTAGTAAGGTGGGTACACGCGGATGGCGCAAGCCATTCACGTAAAACGGTGTATGTGTCGTGGACGCATGCACCGAGTTGTTGATGGCAAACTCTACCATTGGCAAAAACTCACTCCAACTCTTAAAGGAGTGTACGTATCCTCGAAGTATCTCTTCAAGGACACGATTGGCACGTTCCGTCTGACCATCTGACTCTGGATGATCAGATGTTGACATCTTCAAGCGCGTTCCGAGTGATTTGAACACGGAACGCCAGAAATCAGCAGTGAATCGTGGATCTCTTCTGATACGAGTTCACGGGGCAACCCATGAAGTCGGAAGATGGTGTCAATAAAAACACAAGCACAGCCACTTGCCGTGATTGTCTCTGGTACAGCCACAAGGTGTACCATTTTGCTGAATCTGTCAACAAATACGAGAATACCCGTATTCCCGCATGCGTCTTTGGGTAACCCGAAGACGAAATCCATTGAGATGGATTCCCAGCACTCAGCCGGAACCGGTAGAGGCTGTAAAGGTGCACGCAGTGAAGGACTTGACTTCACTCGTTGACAGACTTCGCATGCGCGAACATACTTTCGCACAAACTGATACTGGCGGGGCCAGTAAAAGTCTCGACTTACCGTGAGATATGTTTTCTCTCGGCCACGATGTCCTCCTATAGGAGCATCATGATACTCGAACATGATCCGCAAACGCAGATCAGTATCATCTGGAATGACAACACGCGGTGTGTCACCAGAAACGGCTGTATAATACAGTAAACCGTTACGAGCAGTGTATCGATCTGATGCAGATCGATACGCAGACGACAATCGTTTCAACGATTCTCGGATGGTTGGGAGAGATGTGACAACAACTTCACTATCTCACCATCTTGGGCGTATGCCCGCCTCACATCATCATACAACGTTGTAGATGGGACTGAGGACGTCATAACCGCAACAGTGACTGTCTCACTGTTGGGTTTCGCGACTGTTTCAAAGTCGGGACGACGTGAGAGTGCATCAGCAACGACATTAAGTCGTCCTGGTTTGTACTCGACCGTAAAGTTGTATTCTGCAAAGAATGACAACCACCGCGCCATTCGTTGTGAAAGGTGCGGGCTGTTCACTGCCGTGCGTAATGACGCATGGTCAGTGTAAACAACGAAGGGTCTATCTCCTAATAGATAGACTCTGAACTTCGAGAGTGCATACTTCATGGCAAGGAGTTCCTTGTCATGCACTGGATAGTTCCGCTCAGCTGGTTGCAGCTGACGCGACTGATAGCAGACGACGCGTTCAACGCCTTCAAGGTCGTACTTCATTAATGCACAGCCGATTGCGAAATCGCTGGCATCACAGACCACATGTAATGGCCTGTCCTGATCGGCTATTGCTAGGACTGGGGATTGTATCAAGCTCTGCTTGATACTCTCAAAGGAGCGCTGACATTCAGCGTTCCATAACCACCTCTCGTTCTTTTTCAACAAACGAGAGAGGTGCACAGTCATCTCGGCGTAATGGCGTGAATACTTATGCAAATACGCCGCTAGCCCAAGGAATTTTCGAAGACCTTTGACATCGACCGGCACAGGCCAGTCGGTGATCGCCTTGATCTTTTCGGGATCAGGACGTACACCGTTCTTACCAACGATGCACCCAAGAAGTGGTGTTTCGCTTGCTGCTAATATACACTTCTTGAGGTTAGCATACAATTGATGCTTTCGCATGATTGTAAGAACTTGTCGGACGTGGTACCTGTGAACCTCAACGTCCGACTTTCCATCCATAGCTCGACTATGGATGAATACGTCATCGAAATAACTCGGCGCGAATTCTTGTACTGGTCTCAACAGATGTGATACACATCTGTTGAACGTGGCAGGGGCATTACTGAGCCCTTGTGGCATTACTAGCCATTCCCAGAGCATGCCGCTAGGCGTACTAACTGCGGTATAGGGTATATCCCGTTCCCGCATAAGGATTTGATAGAAGCCATCCATCAAATCCATGGACGAAAAGATGGTACTCTTTGACATACCATCAATCATTACGTCCTTCCTCGGTATCGGCGCCTGATCCGGTACCGTTGCAGCGTTCAATTTGTTGAACGCGTGCACTATCCGCCACCCTCCTGTTGCTTTTCGCACACAGAAGTTCGTAGAGCTATGTGGGAAAGTTGATTCCCTCACATGGCCCGCAGCTAAACGATCGGCAAAGAACTTGTCGATCGCAAGTACTTGTTCACGAGGCAGTGGCCACTGCTTCATGACACATTACTTCGAGCCTGGTCTAAGCTCGACCTCGTGTCGAATACCTTTATCCTTCGGTAATTCGCACGGAACAGTTTCAGGGAATACATACTTGAATTCAACCAAATCTTCATAGAGAGGATTTGTCTTGAGCGATTCCCATGATTGGGAGTCATATCGCTCAATTCGTGTCTTTTCATCTAGGACACTCTCGTCCATAGATGAACTACTGAGAACTCTCTCGTTCTCAGTAAACACTGTTGCTGACCTTATGTCGGTTACACACTCGTCGTCAGCGAGGAGTATGCAGATCTGCTTGACTTTGCCACTACGCAGATCACGCAAGAACCTTTTATGTTCGAGCGTTGGCAACTGAGTGATCTCCGAAGTTAACTTCGGAGGCGCAATCAGATCAAGTGTCTAAGCGCCTACACTTGATCCGTTATTGACTATGAATTCAATGTCTCTGTCATTTCCTGGGGACTTATTCCCTCAGGCCTCGAAGGACTTATTCCTTCGTCTTCCCGGGGACTTATTCCCGCGGGTTTCGGGGAACTTATTTCCGCCGTATTTGTAATCTTGGGTTGCGCAACCACAGCGAGATCCTCTACGAAAGACTCTCCAGTCGATCTAGGATTATCATTTCGCTTAACCTGAGCGGTCGATTGTTTCTCTTCTAGATGAACCCTGCTAGGGATACATCTTTGTCCCGGTCCACTCGGCTTATTCGAGTGGTGGACCTTCGGCGCAGCCTGTGTTTCCTCACAGCCGCGGGAACTTTGCTCCGAAGTGTAACAGTTTGTTACACTGAGGTTTTGTGCAGTCGTACTAACGACCGTACCACAAGTGAGGCCATCGCACTCACTCGAAGTACATCCACACGCTTGTGGACGCTCTAGAACTCTCATCAGATGGCCATCTGATGAACGAGCGGCAGGCATCGTTACTGTTCGATTTTGCCAGTTTACCCGTGGTTCGTACCTTCTGAGCCACGGTATTCCAAGGATGACATCAAATTTGTCATCCAAATCCAATACGATAAAGTCATCGTCATATTGGGTATCTTTTAGCGTATAGTGGATCTTCACTATACGCTTCATGACGGTTACGGATGCGCCTGTCGCAAGACGTACCGTCATCCTCGTAGGAGGTGTGTCACATTCAACATACTTGAAGTGACCATCTTCTAGCGATTAGCGTCGCACAAAATTGACGGACGCCCCACAATCGACTAGAGCTCGAAGGGACAACTTGTTCGTCACTTCGAGTTTTAAGGCAATGAGTGAGATCTCATTACCTAAGCAGCAACGCACAACGTTTGTGCGTTGGGAGCAACCTTCATCAAGAGGCCTACAAATTCTCTTGACGTTGCTAGACCAGTAGGGTGCTCCGCACCTACTGATCTTGACCGTTTTTTGACAGTCCATCCCGTTGTTGCGTCATTGCACCAACAGCGGACCCGCGTCCCTGCCCCTTTCTCATGGGTGGACAGTCACTACGCCCAGTGTTGCGAGACACTGGACGAGGGGCACTACACTCGTAAGCGTAGTGTCCTGTCTTTTGACATCTGTTGCATCTCTGCAACTTCTTGTAGCCTGTAGAGCGAACCTTCTCGCTCTCTACATAACAGAGTTCCATCGGCTCTGGACCTCCGTTGTCATATCGTCTCGGTTGACGATATGATGTCGAGCTGGCGCGAGCCTGTCTCAGACTGAAGTCTTCCTGCTCCGCAATGGAAATGGCTTGTTCTAGTGAATCTAGTTCAAGTCGGAACAGGTGAGTCTTGACGGGACCATCCGCAAGACCCTGCATGAACACCGAAACCAACGTGTGTTCATCCACTGGATTGGAACTTATACAACTCGTAAGATGTCGTATATGTTGCGCGTAAGCGTGCACATCACGCTTACCCTGTTTGAGCTTCAAGAGTTCAGTTCGAGCTCTGAACTCAGCTCTAGGCGGTTCAAACGTTTGTCTGAGCCGCGACTTGAAGACTTCCAACGACCCAAACGCATATGGGTCGTGCAACTTGAGCCCCAGTGCCCAAGTCTTGGCACGTCCTGCCAGATTTGACTGATCAAGTGCAACTTGCATATCCCCGTCGTCGATGCGACGCGCCCTTATGGCGTCATCCAATTCGACGAACCATCTCAAGAGGGAGTCTTCTTCGACCCCCCTATACTTGGAGATGTCAATATTCAAAGTCTCGGGTCGACGCGAGTGCATCGACCCGCCAGCAGCAGCCTGCTGCTGTCTCAACAGTTCAAACTGTTGAGCACCCTGTTATCTCAACAACTCTGCTTGTTGAGAACCTTGTTGGTGAAGCAAGGCTACTTTCTCGCGTTCAGCGTCAAGTTCATTTTGAATGAACTTGGCGATAGTAGCATGTTGGGCATCTCTATTGAGAGCCTCTAGCATGACGCTAACAGCATGGATGCTTATGGTCGAACCCATTCGTTCAACCGCATCCCATTCGACATCGCTCAAATGGGAGTAGCCGTCACGCGTAGCGTGAAAGCTTTTGTCATCTTCATCATCCAACATATTCATGTTGGATGTGAACGCGGTCCTTGGACGGACTACGAAGTGCTACCAGGTGTAACGGGGCACCCTGAAGCTTGTACTGGTGACAGTACAAGCTACTTATTCTGATGACAGAATAAGGCGGTGCCTCGTAACTTCACGTACACTGGTACGTGCAGAGGAAGACGGTAAGAAGAAGCGAGTACTAGGTTAAAGTAAAAAGTAGAACTGTATTTGTCATAGCTAATGTCTGCAATAAATCACTATTTATCTTCATCTAACTATGTCTAAATACAAATGTGTAAATCAATTATCTGCTCACCACTCATTGCGTGCGTCTGTCGTGGCGCGTCTTCGTTGGTTGATATAATGGCCTATATCAACCAATTAGGAAGTACTCGTAAGTGCTACAGAATATTTGTCCTTATGACAATATTCTGAGAATATAACTCTTATAGTTATATTCTATTAACAATTTCTTATAAATTGTTATGTAACGATTCACCCCGTTACATTTCTGACCTTGTTTAAATCAGTCTGACAAAATCTGTCTGCAGCTTTGTTATTGTCCTGAAGTCAACGATCACCTGTTGTCGATCTGATAACAAAATCCACGATATGGAGATCCTCGTTCGTTTTCTAGATGTAACTTTTTTTTGATACGGACACCACCGTTATCGATTGAGACACCGTCCTGCTTAATCAGTCGGAAAAGCTAATTTGTATAAGCTGCATGTAAGCATTGCATTGATAAATCACCATCGCTTTTATACAGAAGAACTTACACTTGGGACATGAGTTTGAGCACAAGTGATGACTTTCGAATCGAAGTTACATGTATATCTTAAACGATGATAGTACGCGTTGCCGTCGTCATGTATAAAAATTTGCTTCTATTTGCAAGCACGATTCCTTGTTGAGCGCAGCAAAGTTAGACTCTAGGGCAGGGTCACAACGTCCGACATCGTCATTTTCTGGCTAAATGCTTGCTTGTAAGATAACACTCGTCTTTCAGAACCTTGTGAATGTTGACGCGTAATGGGCGCTGTCACGAATCGATTACCAACAGTCTCCACGCGAGCATGTTTATTCCAGCTACATCAGCACGGTGGCACAAGGACGATAGCCGTTAGCGGAGAGCTACCGGTTGGCTGGTATAAGCTCAACTTTCTCGCACTTACCCACATTTGTCGCCACTTAATGGCTGTGATGTTGCCATTTGGTCGTATCACCTCGCACTTCATCAGCAAGAAGTGAACACGCAAATGACCTCCGATTCGCCTTTCCGCATACCGATTAAAGTTGGTTCGCTGATGCACTACATCTGAGAGAACCCGTGGCGTTCGCATGAGCGCTCAGGTAGTAGACAGGTCTACCGCACGGAGCTGCCTGCCAACGAGTATACGACGCTGCTCGAAGTCGCTGCTGAAGACGTGAACTATCGTTGATGGCGTTTGTGCCAACTGTCCACCCACCGTTTGAAGTATGCGGCCATGATGGCCTTACTAAAGTCTGCGGGCTCGCGTGATATCGTGAGAGTGCATGGTTGGGGTATTGCCCTATAATGTAGCACGCAGTCCTCGCAGATGTGGTCTCACTGGAAGATATTGTACAAGCTGGAGTTGAAGCCATCCCGAGTGATCAGGATGTGGACTTGACCTCGGTCATCTGGGTGCGAGGTTGACCTCAACTTGGTTGAAGAAGCGATCTACGTAGACCTCAAAGGGCACACTGACTTGATTTGATACAGCTACTACATGCGGACAATACGTAAACTGCTCATTCCTTTGCTAACAGAAACACACTAAGTGCAAGATGCCGATCAGGACTGAAGACTCGTTCGAGCTCCCGATGACTGTCAAACGTGCCTTGCCCTCGTGACCCAGGTGGTTGGCGACGTCTATGTAGACTTCACAATACCATTCCCGAGCGAAACATTACGAGCAAGGAGCGTCCAATCGAAAAATGCTTGATCACGGTCGATCCTGGGAAGGCCCTGTACCAACAAAAATGTGCTCTGCCTCACGTTCTGCCACTTTTGATGAGTTCGTCAAGATTGACAACAGCTTTTAACCAAACTATTTTGCGTTCGCTTACGTTTTCTACCACCATACGATTTTGAAATCGCAACACATTACTCATATCATATTCAAGTCGTCAGCGTGTGTTCTTGGCAGAGTCTTCAGAGATGCACATGCACTTTGCTAATTAGTGATTTTCCAATTGAGTTGCATTTAAGTGAAGCCCATACTTGTCCCTCCGTGCTGTTGTTCGGACACGACTGGTGGGTTTACAGCCCTTCCCAACACGTTACACAGTTGCGGCGGGATGCTGAAACAGCTGCACTATCAGATCATCCATCAATCGCTTGTAATACATTTTCGTTTCCTGGAAGTGGCCCGGCAAGTCCTTCACGTAATCGCTGACATATAAATACTGATCCAGATACTTGATAAAGATGGGATTGGTAAGCTTCTCGTTACCATCCATGATCTTGAAAAGACGTACCAGGAACTTCAGTGCCTCTTCGCGAAGTTCTGGTACGAAAACAGATTCATTCACCTGTTTCATGAACTTCATGGTACCACCATATGCTTCTACTATGGTGTGATAGTTCAGTGCTAAACCTAACTTGCCGCCGACGATACGCGTGCAAAAGGTCTTCAGCACGACGTCTGATGTACTCTCGCCTTTAAGAAGATCGAAAACGGTGCGCTTATTCATCTTGAGTTTGTAAAACACGTCGGGAGCTTGTTCCCCGTCGTCGGCCCACCAGTTCGTCAGTACCTGCAAGTACTTTATTCCGAAATCTTTCACCACCTCGTTCTGAGACTCTTGTAGACCAGCAAGCGACTTTGCCATTTCAGCTTCGCCTCGCTCAGAAACAAGTGACTCGAACACCATTTGTTTCATGTGCGCAAATCGTTTTGCCAGCTGCATCATCTCCGACCTTTTCGATATCGCATCCTCCAGCGTCACACCTGGATGAGCAGCCTCGAACGCATTAAAAGCCTTGGTGATGATAACATGTCCCGGCGACTCATCCTTAGCCAAGGCAAGGATATCAGCTAACTCGGTCCAATGGGCTACATCATCAAGATCCATCAGATTCATTCTCTCCTCAATGTTCGTTAAGTTTCCAACCCCCGGCAGCATGTCAGGATGGATATCTTCGTCGTGATCCTTGGTCAATACGGGTACGACAGCTGGGCCATGGGGCCCCTTTGTCTGAGGACGCCCAGCCTTCGAGAGGATGTCAGCTCGTATCAGGAATGTGGGTGCAGCCACGAGTGCGAGCAGGAAGACACGCATGGTAGTGAGGGGTGGGAGAGATTGGTCAATTCGGAATGATCGAAAGACTGGTGTGTGGCAAACGCTCTCGCTTAGTTTTGCGAGTCCGAATGGTGGAGATATCGGTGGCTGTGCGCAAAGTGGATGCTGAACGCTTTAGAGCGTACTTATCTGCGTGTGCATCTGTCAGTAGTAAATAACGCGGCTAGGTGTACCGTTCACGTACAAAGTGCGATCTAGTCTGTCCCCCTCATTGGATGGGCACATTTAAAGTCAGTCTTTGGCTAGGTCACTATTGTGATGCACACACGTGATCGGCTTATAATCGGTCAAAGGTGAGAAGGATCTCAGAAGCAAAGGCTGATCGGTTGCCCGAGTATACTGTACTGAATTATTGAAGACATTCACGGCATCGTAATGCATTCTTCAGTGACAGCTGCTGTTGTATAGTATTTTGCAACTTGATTTAGTTCTCTGAACTGAATTACATGCATCAAAGGGCGAGCTCCAGAGCGTGCTCCCCTATCTTATTATACTAACACTCTACAGTCTCTTCCTCCTCGTCTTGTGACGATTAATTTGCTGCTGCTACTGCTAACAAAATGTGAATAAACGGCTGTTCATTTCTTTGTCACCGTCACAGCTACTTTGACGGTGACAAAGAAAGTGATGTAATCGCCGTGGTTCAGCACATGACCATTTTAAGAGTCGCTAGGCCACCGAGTGATGCCACATGGTCGTGGAATTAGTTGAACTTGTGGGCGTGATGATCACAAAACGGAAACTTCACGTAATATTTTTAAATTTGCCCAACTCATTGCTACAAGTGGTTTAAGTAACGAAAAGGCGAAGGTAGGTTTAACGAAAAAGGGAGTGAATCTATCAAACATCTTATAGTGTAGCAGTTAACCGTCGAGAAAAAATAGTTACGCAAGGAAATATGCAAATTAGCACATAGAGAACCGAAGCTCGTGTGCACAAGTACAACTATCAGATCGATGGATAATTTAATCCTCTAGAATGCGTAATTACGGTACACTTTTCACTATTTCACGATGTGCAATAGCAGCTGGTTTGACAAAAAGTAGCGTGTAGATGATTCTTGAACGCAAGCGCACGTTTACTGACCCTCATCCAAGCCTTCACACGGGTATATCCCGAGACGAATGATTTTGAACTTAAATTGCGGTCTGAGAAAGATTGGCTCTCTGGGCGCTTCATGTAACGGGTCCCACCTTATTCAGCTAACTGAATAAACCTTGCACTGCTGACAGTGCAAGGGTGTGTCCGTCCGACTACCTCACGTACACATGCGTGCAGAGGAAGGTTGCCAAACGGAGTAAGAGTACTCAAGAAAGGTAAAAAGTAGAATTGTATTCAGTATCGTTAATCCTTTTATCAAATCCTTATTTGACTTCACTTTACTATGTCTAAATACAAACATGTATTGTAGCTACCTGCCTTCCACTCGTTGTGTGCTTCTGTCGTGGCTAGACTTTGTTGGTTGATATCTCAATCCCACATCATTGGTTGATGAGCAGTGTGTTACGTCTGCGAAGCAATTTTATTTATCAGGATAATATTGTGAGAAAACTGTGTTTGTCCTACCATAATATTCATGCTCGATGATTACTTTATGCAAAGTATCATGGAATGGAAGCACCCCATTACACTTCACGTACTAGAAGGCCGATTCGACCACGTTTAATCAGCCGATAGACGACTTTTGGTACAGGATATTTTCTTACCATGTGAAAAGCTCAAGCTGTTCGTCTTTCTAGCATCCACTCGGTCTGCCAAGGTGTTGTGTCGCTTCTTCAGTCTTTCAACTTCCGTGCTGATGAAGCGTGCGGTCCAATGAGATTACACGTTTAGCTTCTTCTCCTATCTCCAGCTGCCCGTTGGTACTCGCAATGCTCGGTAGCCCAATAAATAAGCAAGCGTCTTCCTTCGCGAGGACATTGTCCGGTGCGCAAGACCTGGTTGACACTGCCTCTGAACCTTCTCATTGGCATGCTACGTTGGCTCGTTGCATTGTCAAGTCGAGATCCGGAGTCCCTGAAAACTTTTTTTTGCCTTCTTCTTGCTAGGCACCGCATGTTTTCGGTTAAGTCGCTTTTGACTACCAGCACCAACTATTCTGTCAATATCAGAATTTTTTTTTGCAATCAATTGACCTGTTGCTGCTTGACGAATTGCTCGGTAGCCATACGATCCGCGCGGCGTAAGCAAACAAATGTTCTTGCCTTTCGTTTCACGTTTTCTCTGTACAATTGTCTGAGCTGTCTGTGGCCATCGCAACACCGTCTGCGGTCATCGCGAAAATGTCGATGAGCTCCATCGAACGCATTATTACTCGCCCCATAGTGCGGCACGTATAAGATGTTGTCTTGCTTTCGATACGTCGATGGGGCATACATGTAGCTTACGCTTCTTTGAGGGAATGCTGACGCTAATATTGTTAGCTGGAATGGTGGCTACACCAAACAAAGCAGGACCCCTATTTCTGTCCCACGATACACAGTGATGCAAGTGCAACACACGTAACTAGACTGGCCAATTCCTCGGCATTAAGAGAGCAGGACAACAGCGGCAGTGAATGGTTCTTTCACGTTTAGACCATCCACATGTGCTCGTAGTGTAACACTGTCGTGGCTTTTCCTGGCTCCTGCATCAACTTGACAATACACAGCGACACACTGACAACCTTAACACTGGACACAGATGCTTTCAGGACTAAAACACGACCATGGCTTTACTTTGAGACGCTATCGAACTCAAGTCTTGTAAGCAATTCTCTGTCCGCTAGAGCACATCCTTTCTGCCACCACGAGACCTCAGATTCAACCAAGCACCCATAACATCACCTCTGTCTTCGTACGCAGTAGTGACACCCTTCCCCCACCAGCCAGCACGGCATTTATACAGCTACCAGCCGACAAAAGAGGAATCACGTGACCACCAGCACCTACAGAGCACCGCGAGATGACATGCCAGTACAGCACCACTTAATACTGGTGGCCAGCCGATTTCTTCTTCTCTCCAAGCTCAAAGTGCTTGGTGCGCTTCATGGGCAGCTGCTTCTTGGTCTTGCACTCCTTGCACTCCATACGCAGCGTGATCTTCTTTGTGGTCTTGGCCTTCTTGTGGAACACAGGCTTGGTCTGACCACCGAACCCCTTCTGCTTGGCATTGTAACGACGTGCGCCCTGAGCGTACTTCGATGCCTTACCAGCCTTGTATTGCGTAATCTTGTGCACCGTGTGCTTCTGGCACTTCTTGTCCTTGCAGAAGGTGCGGCGTTCCTTTGGCACATTTACCATGGTTGCTGAGGTCTACACAGTCACAATGCCGCTCGTCAGGTCAAACGCATTCGCTTCAGACTCTACATATACACAGAGATTAAACACGCGCGCACCTGTTGTCTAGTCCGATTTCAGAAATTACGAGTCCAGTGAAGAGCCACAGCGTCCACCAGCCAGTGGTTGTTAGGCTCGGGGACTGGAAGACGGTAAGAAAGCAGCGAGTTTTTACAACGTAATTACGTCCGCCCCGCCTCGGATTTTCGCATTTAATTGAATTGCCATCGAGCGAAAAAGAGGTGCATCATGTCAACATGCGACCCGACGCGTGACCCGAAATTAAGGTTTTGTCTACCCAGAATAAACGCGTGCTCGGAGCTGCTGATTATTTGAAGTAACGCTACCGCTGTTAAGTCAAGATGGTGATCAACACTCTGGCCTTCACGGCATCAAGTCGGACAGCATGACGTGATTCAATGAAGCACAGCGGCTCTTTTATAGCCGCAGCGACGGGCAAACGTACAGACAAGCATCCGATATGGTCGTAACACGTTCATCTAGTGACAAAGGGCGTGTGAAAAGCATCAGGTCATGCCGATAAGAACAACAGGCATCGACCATGGCGTGACTTGTAATCTTATTCAAGTTGCAAGCGGAAGCAAAGGTGTAGAGAGAGAGAGAGAGAGTAGGCAACGACCCATTTTTCGCGCAGGTCATCCGAGGTCAAGTCAGTGCACTGTGGCGTCGAGACAGCTCGTTCGCTCATCTGATTCGCTAAAAGTAATCCCCCACAGCTGTTAAATCAAGCTTTCCAAGTAAAAAAAGCCCGACCCCTCGACGAGACCCAGCAGCAACAGCAGGAGAGGAGAGAAGTATCACACCGTCCAGCTCCCGCGGTTCTGTTCACTTCAGCCGCCCCAATCGCAGCTTTTCGGGTCTCTAGCACATCCCCAACTTGCAACTCGACCAAGTCGCACTTCCAACCTCCTTCCAACCTCCTTCCAACCTCCTTCCAACTCCCTTCCAACTCCCTTCCAACCTCCTTCCAACCTCCTTCCAACCTCGATCAGTGCACCGACGTTTCCAAAGCGCCAGTGGCGTCCCTCATCCTCATCCTTGTCTTGCAATGGGGAATTCCGAGTCTCGAGGGGCGACGACACCCTCCAGTTCGACGAAATTGCGGGCTAAAAGACGTGCCCTCACGCCTCAATCCAGTGAAGCTCCGCACGACGACAGCGACGAGCCGAAAGACGGTCAAGCAGCAATTACAACCACATTAAGGCGGCGGTCCCGTCTGTCCAGCAGCTCGAGCTGCAGTAGTGACGACTCCATGGGTCGGGAGAGAGGGGGTCTCGAACGAGGTCAAGAGGCGCTGGAAGAGACGTCGGCGCAGCTCAGCTACTGGTACTTGCTCAAACATGGGTACACGGAGCTCGTGCACTTGATCATTCGACCACCACGAACCACTTACGATCCCGTGGATTTGGGACCCCGTCAGTTTTTATTTACGGGACGGACGTATGTCCGGGAGGATTTCGTGGTCGTGAATGACCGGAGCCAGAAGCTCGTGTGTTCGCACTGGCGGCCTGCTGTGCCTTTGGCTCAAGTGGGAATAGAAGGGGACACGCTCGTGCCGTGTGTGGTCTATTTACACGGCAATTCGTCCTGTCGGTTGGAAGCTTTGGGTATTTTACGCACCTGCTTGGCTGCTGGATTGACAGTTGCTGCTTTTGATACAGCTGGGTGTGGTCACTCGGAAGGGGAGTATATTTCATTGGGGTATTACGAGCGGGATGATTTACGAGATGTGGTGACGCATCTTCGGACGAAGATGAACATTGGACCCGTGGCATTATGGGGAAGGAGTATGGGAGCTGCAACAGCACTATTGCATGCGGATAGGGACCCGTCGATTGCAGGGATTGTCGTGGATAGTGCTTTCGCGAGTCTGGAACAGCTCGTGGAGGAAGTCGTGGACCGTGGACGCCAGGAAGGATTGACGCTGCCGGGCTTTCTCGTGAAAATCGTGCTCAAGTTTATTCGATTGTCGGTGAAGAAGCGGGCACATTTCGATTTACAGCAACTCGCGCCGATCGATCATGCGCCTGTTTCGTTCGTGCCAGCATTGTTTGTGGCTGCAGAGCACGATTCGTTTATCACGCCGCACCACAGCGATCAGATCTTTGCGGTGTATGGCGGAGATAAGAACCTGGTTAAGGTGGACGGAGACCACAACAGTTCGCGGCCGCAGTTTTTACTTGACTCTGCAGCAATTTTTTTGCAGACAGCATTGCAAGTAGAAGCGGCAGCAACTTTGCCTACGAGTGTGTTCGCGCACGGGACAATTGGAGGTGGGGCCCGCGTACCGTGGGAAGATGCGACGGGTCGGACATCGTCATTCTCAATGTGTTCAACGCCTTCTTCGCGTTGCCACATGACCACGGATTTTGATGCACGACATTTCGGCACGAACTTGATGTTGTTACCAACAGAGCCGTGGTCGTGTCCGTCGTGTAGTTTTGTTAACCGCCCGCCATCAATGCAGGTGAGTTGGTCGATGTCTTGTGGCTGCTTGAAGAAGTATGGCACTAACGGGCTGTTGTGATTGCTTTTGTAGTGCAAAATGTGCCGGGACATCCATCTCCCCGACGATGGTACCAATCGAGACGTGAGGGACGAGGAAGATGAGACCACGTTTGGTGAAGCCACACGAATACGTGCGACAACTACTGCAGCAGCGCGACCTCCATTCGTTTCGACGCAGTCGCAAGCAGCGTCTCGAAGACGAACATTGGAAACCGCACCATCGTTCAGTCCATCTACTTTGTCATTGCGCTCAGGGCAACAGTTTGCCGGATCAGAGCGATCAATGGGCGTGGTGACAGTCACGACCAAAGCGACCTCGGTTCCTACGCGAACAACGTCACCACCTTCGGTCATAGAAGAAGGTCAAAAGTCGTAGCTGTGTTTGCGTTACGATTCTACTCGATCGAAGACAGAGGAGCACACGCAAAGGAGCGTATTTACCGTCTAATTAAGTGGACATGAACGTACTGCTGCGGAGGTCACGAATATACGCAGGGTACAAGCAAGTTAATATCAGCAGTTGCTTGTTCGCTGAACCAGTAACACGATGGACGAGAAAGCTTTAGCTGAAACACTGTTCCTGACATCATTTTCTCCGCATGAGGAAATAGTAGCTGCCGTTAAAAAGGACCCACGCGCCAACAACGTAGGCATACGTTAGTGTGAGGTCTGTAGTCGTAGTGGTGGACGACGCGTGTGGCCCAACGCCGCTGCTAGTAAACCCGGCAGAATCGTTCGAGCTCATATCCACACCTGACATCGTATCTCCCAAGCTGTTCGAGCCGTCAGAAAGTCTAAAATTGGCCGAGGTGCCAACCACATTGAAGTCACCAGCACTGCGGGAATTCGCAGGAGTGTCGTCAGAGCTGTACCCACTTCCACGACCAGCAACGTTCGTAGCGTTTCCAATCGTGCCAATGCTCATCGGACGTCGCTTTACAGTGGCTCCAGACTGCAAAATGTCGTCCGAACCCATCACATTGAGATCGTCTAGTGCTGCCATCTGTCTCGTAATCGGCAGACCCGGCGAGCTGACTTCATGCACCGCCTCTTCCTTCGCAGTCAGCAGATTGGCAAGCACATTAAGCTTGTAAAGCTTTCGAAACGAGCTCGCAGCTGGAGCCACACTCGCGACTGGGTCCGTACCCGTATGTATCAGGTCTGCACGGACTCGAAGCAGCGTTTCTGCCAGCGACCGGACACTTGTCTGCGACTGGCGGTAGCTGCAGTCGGGCAACCACGAGGCTGTCACTGCTAACCTCAGCCACGCCGCACAAGCTTCAGATCTGCAAAGGTTCTTGATCTGCTCCTGTGTTGGCACCCTCAGCTCTTCTGAAGGCTGCAACAACGCCATAATGTCGAAACCAGCTGTCTCTCGCTTGCAAGAGTTCAGCATCTCCTCGTCCAAGACCTCGGCGTCCACACGGACATTCAGAGCTTCGGAACACAATTGGACGCCTCCAAGGTGCACCAACGTTTGCGTGACGTCGCCTCGGTCACCCCACCAAGTCAGCAGCTCGGACCCAGCAACAGGCGAAGACGTTTCCACTGGCACTTGCCTTGGCGCAATGATCGGGTCTTGAGAAGCTGCACCGGTCAAAAGGATAGCGAGGAACATCAGAAGCGAAAGGTGGGAGGGAGCTGGGCAACTTCGACAGTGTCTTTGTATACTGGCGATGCCAATAGGTACTCCTGAAAACTGAAGCCATTGCCTGATGTCGATCCGCCTACTCCTACACGTCATTCTTCCAGTGGAGACGGTTGAATTGGTCGTTTGTTGTAGCTCTAGTGAGTGATAGAATGCGGTTGAGCAGCACTTGTAGGAATAGCTACAGCGTATAAATAGAGGACGTTCTTGTTAGAAGGGATGTTCGTGCCAGAGAAGGGCTCCCGTTCAGCTGGTCGGTAGGGGAAGAGCGTCGAAATGGGTCGCGAATTGAAGTTTGTCGTTGGTCGAATACATTCATGCGTTCTCACAGGTGCAATTAGAGGGAATTGTTTTACATGAGAAGTAGAGAATTCTTGGAATACAGTGCTCCATTTCACAAGTTGTCCTTTATTCAAGGAAAACCCGCCGGGAATAGGTACTTTAGCCTTTAAACGCAGCTTTTTACACGAAAATCGCCTTATGCAGGAATAGGCCCGATCCGTACTTACAAATGTGCTATTCCGTACTTTAAACGCGTCCAACAGTTTTTACGGACAAGTAATGAGCTTTAGGAGACAAACAATTCTCTGGGCAGCATGTTAGACGCACTAGAAATCCATCAGTTTTGTCCCGACCGAGGCCAATACGATGAGACAAAAGGAGCCATCACTGTCCACTCAGTAGGAAATTGCAGCGAACAAGGTAAACTTGCGTCGGAAAACGTGCCATTGACGAATTTCGGAGTGTGATGTCTAAGTTGCATGGTAACAACGATCATGTAGCGAACACGATACAATTTGGTTGAAGGCTACGATGTCAACCTTGATGTAGCTGAGCGAACGGCCGAGTGCCGCTTGCAACACGGAATGCACTGTTTGACTGGTGGGGACCATCCTGAATCGAGCCGACGCCGCGAAAACGGCCTTTCATCGTGCATCACTCCTTACTCCTCTGCTTGTTTTGCCACGTGAACGGGATGGTGAGGTCTCCACAGACATCGCCAATCAATCACTTGGACCATTAGGTTAGACACGTCGTAGCATTATTGCGAGTCTTCGTCCTGGTCGGACCTCTTGCTCTTTGCGTGGTTCAGTAAGCAGAGGAATGAGCCTTTCAGCATCGTCTCCACGTAATAGTTGCCTAGAATCAAATCGACGCGACTCTCGAGCTCCATGTGGATCAGGTCAGCATCGCACCTTGATAACCATAACTCGATTCCACGTCCTGCTCTCTTGTCAATAGCTGCAAGCTTTAGCTTGTACACTGTCTTCCTGCAATCTGCAAGAACTGCGTGTTGGATTGTCGCAATAGCGGCAGCACACTTTGCGTGACCACAAGAGTAAGCATAAGCAGAAAAGGCTGTGTTGCTTCACCGATCTTCCGAAAAAGGTGATCGCACTCTGGCTTGCGCTTGAAGTCCTCGCTCAATAACTCGAGACTGACCCGCGAGGCTAACGTGGCCGCAAGACGAATGGTCGACGGACAGTCGGCACGTGCGATCCACGATAGCCACAACGCGGTTGGATCGTGCTCATCAATGAGATTGTTCACAAGATCGTCGCACACGTACTCGAGATACTTGCGTGTTGCGTAAGAGCAGCTTTCAGTAATTCATAGCTGCTGATCACGCGTTCTGCAGCAACTACACAAGCAGCGTCGGCTTCCAGCAGGCAGTTTGATCCTGCCGATTTTAACCACCACAGCGTTACGCCGACCGGCGACAAAATTCCCGGTAAAAGATGCTTATGTAGGACCTTCGGCGAGATGGATCTAACGAATCACATCTTCAGTGGCTGGGTCATAAGTGCAGAAATCGGAATAGCTTCATGGACGACAAGCTTTCCACTCCAGTAGTGAAAACGTTGTTGCTGTTGATTTCCCAAATTGACGTTCTGTGCGGATCAAATGGATTGGATGCTGTCGCGAACGTAGTGAAGCTAGTTACAGCTTGAAATGATAGCAATCTTGCCACGAACTACGTGCCGTTGTAACCGAGGGTTCGTTCGTTCGTTCCTGATAACAATGCGGTAGTATCGCGTCAAATGCTATTGTCTAGCAAGTACCTGTGAGTATGAACCATATTAGCAAAAGGCGTAACAATCACACACATCCAAGGAGATCCATCTGAATACGCACCAGATCAATATGCTGAAGCAACTGCCTGTCCACAGCAGCAGTAGCTCCTGTCTCATCTTCGGATATTCGGACACCGAAGCGTCGAAAGAAACTGCTAAACTCATCGCGATCGCGCTTCACTAACTCGTACTGATCCGCATATAAACGATAGGTCTTCAGAAACAGCAGTACGCACGCGTCAATGGCGTTCGTCGGTGCCAGTCTCATTTCCATATTTTGCGATCCCGATCGCGTATCCTCTTTGCCAACAGCTGATCAAGAATGAAGTCCATGGCAAGACTCAAATGGCCTAAGCCCGGCCTACTGTTCATGGAACGCGCTTCGCTGGGTGGAATGAATGCAAGTAAGGGCACGAGTTGCTCTTCATCCACGCATCGTACCCCATCAACAACAACAATAGCGTCACGGTCAGTCGGCGAAGCGGTCCATTTGCTTAGCAGCAAACTTGCCAATCGCACGACCTCCACCAGCTCGGTCTCCATCTCTTGGTGAAAAGCGCTAAGCTTTCGTTTCTCGACATCCCGCACGGCACGCAAGTGATCATGCAAGAGCGTCTGACACGAATACGCGAAAGATGAAGGAGACCGTGGAGATCGCGGTGACCTGGAAACGAGGCTTCCGCCACCATTGATAGTTCCTTTGTTCACCGACTTGCTTCGAGCATGCCACACCTCTTTCTCAACAGGAGAGCGATTTTTCTCCGTGGATGAACTGCCCAGCAGCGTGCATGCACGACGAAGCAACTGTCGACTCTGCTCCATAAGTACTACAGCGCTCGTCGGAAAAGCTTGGCGCCAGCGCTTCCGTGTTGACGCACTTCTGCTAAGGCCATTCAATAGCCGCAGCAGTGCTTGATGTTCAGCAATAGTAGCGCACGTAAAACGCCGACAAGTAGAAGGCTCCACTGCGGCTAGCAAAAGTGGTTCAGCGCACGACATGAACTCCCAAACGTCCATTTTGCGAGACTCAACAACGGTGGCCTCTGCTTGCAGGCGCAGCAAGCCGCTCACAAAGTTAAGCACGAGGCACCACATTTGATGTGCAGTGGAACGTTCTAATTTCCCCTCGCCTGTAGGTTCGTCACTCGCGGACAACGCATAGCCACGAAACTTACTAGTGGATTCTTCCCGCTCCATCTGGCTTCGCAGTAGGGGCAGCAACTGTGTCGCAAACATCGACACCAAACGCAGTCGAGATAATGCAGAAGCACTGCTGTTGTCGGACAGCCAGACACGTCGACTCCGCTCGACGTTGGCTGGCTTCCACACAACTGCAGCAAGGCCTCGCAATACCTGACACGCCTCCTCTTGCGACGCGGTCACTTCCTTGCTTTGTGAAGAAGGACGAAAGCGCTGCACCAAAAGGTGAAATAAGGCCCCAATTCCTTGCTGGTCATACTCCAGCTTCGCAACAAATGGGTCATCCAGCACCATGTTTGTCAGGCGTGACACTGAATTTCCGACCACACCAGCGTTCGTATTTCCATAGCTGTCCAAAACTTCCTGGAATAGACACCAACTCAGCTGAAACAGAGTCTTGGAGGACTTCGTTTGAGGTTCCCGATCATTGCAAAGTGCAAATACGTTCATGCAGTGATTTATCAACTTCACCTGCAAAACAGGCTTAGGAAGTAAAACACTTGTTGCTTCGGTCTCCATCTTCGCCATATGACTCGGGTGGCTACCAATCTGAGCCAAGTGACGCACTAGCAGTAACGCAGCTGTAAAAAGTAGTGTCAGCAAACCGTCTGTCACAAACTTCACTCTTTCTTCGAAGTCCGTCACAAGCCGCGAAATCAGTGGTACGGAAGTAGGACGTACAACATAATCAGACATTGACTGATTATCAGCGTCATGCTTCACCAGATCCACCTCGACAGCAAATCGCTTGATCGAGTCGTGCACTGCACTTGCAGCTTTGTGGACGATATTTAACAATTGAGAGGTTGCCCTTGCATCAAGCTTAAAATTGAAGTCTGCGTCAGACCCTTCAAGACGTTGCCGAGTCTGAGAGAACTTGGGATCATGAGTTTTGTGTACAACTTGACACAACTGATGATGTAACATCGATACCAAAAGCTGCGCTAGATCGTGTAGATGTAAAAGCACAAAGAGGTCCAGTACTTCGTTCTGATTTTCGTGCTGGTCCACTTTAGCCTCGATGACGTCCGCTAGAACACGAATCATTTCGAAGGACGTTCGATCCCCAGAAAAGCGTGACGACGACAACGCATTATCTGAGCTGGATGTACTTAAAAACGCCATCGATGTGGCGCTCTTTTGTCGTATGCTTCTCGTCCCGATGTCCCGCGGAGGCGACGAAATCATCGATTCTTTTCGTTTCAGGCACCTTGGCTCCGTCATGCACAGCATTTCTACACCAGACGTACCATGACCTTCTTTGTCTACCTGAAAGCAGCAAAGCTCCATGAACACTTTCCACTTCGACAAGGAAAAGAGTTGAGCATGGAGATAGGCAGCTTGCAAATTGCTCCACTGAACTAGCTTCAGCATGCAAGCATCCGCTGAATAGGCTTTCCTCTTGACGTAATCGCCTGCGCTAATTTGCCATTCAAGTTGCCTAGCATTGCAAATAAGGCCTTCCAGATACGTTGACACGCCACCAACGGGAGTCTTATCAAGAATGCTCGTGATCGGTGTGCGTAAATTGCAAGCACGCTGGATAGACGATGCATACAGTCTTAGTTGTACTGGTGAATAATCAAGACGAGTGAAGGTGCGTAACCAATGTGAATACAGCCCCTCTTTTCGAAACAACTCCAGCACATCCACTAGCGGATGATCGTTTTGCTTAGAAGCTTGATTGTGCCATTCGTACGACACCAACTGGAGGATGAGGCCGCGCGCCATATACCCGTACGCACTGGACCGCCCAAAATACACTTCTGACGATGACGACAAACTCTGCGTGTCCCCTCTACCTGGAGAAGTTACAGCGGCTAGCTCCATATCCAGAACTCCACGCTCCTCTGCAGAGTCTAACGGCATATGGATCTTGATCGCGTGTGTAACATTCGACCAAAATGAGGGGCATGCACGCAGAGTTGCCATAATCTTCAGATGAATACTATGGCGATCATAAATGGCACCGTCCCATACCTGCACAACGAACGCAAGTAGTTCACAGAAAAAATCTGACGCTTGTTCCAAAAGCCTTTCTGTGACTTCGAAAAAGCGCATGAGCAATGCCATACAAGAAACATCATCTACCCCACCCTTTTCATTCACCACCGTGTCTGACTTTGGATCGCTCGTGACAGTATCACCGAAAAATAGCAGAGCCAAGAAGCCTGGTTGGTGCTTCAAGCACAATGCCAGCATTCGAATAACTTCTCTATGCATTGCCAATCGTTGCGTCGACGACATTTGCAGCAGCTGCGCAAAGACTCTGCGAACAGCACCAAGGCTTTGATACCCATGGAAAAGTGCAACCAGCGATCGCATTGAAGACGAGGCGCGGATGTCTCGCTCCTGACGGTAGTCAACGGCAACAGCGGCATGCTGTAGAATCCGTAAGGACCAGTATGCGATTCCAGGGGCCTTTTCAAGTGAATACCCGAGATATTCTCCGCAAAGCGTGATAGTCGTCAGCTCCATGCGTTCCCTGCTGCCTCCACCACCCATAGGCATCAGCAAGATCGTTCGCGCAGCTTTGATATCTACCACATTACTTGAATTTGTGATCAGCAGCGTCACGAACCGTAAACATGTCGTCACAAGCGACTCAAGCTGCACCATATTGACCTCATCACTGCCAAATTCGCTCTTGTATCGTAAAGGAATGTGGTCATCGCTTATTTTGATGTCAGAGTCTAGTGTGCTACAATGCTCGTCATCACCAGTAACATCCACAGCATTCCAGTGTTCAAGCTGGCCTTCTGTAGTTGACAAGACGGCACATGATGACCGTAGGAGCTTCATGAGAAACGACGTATCTGTAGACAGCGTTTCACGCAGCGCAGTCTCGAAAGCCGGTAACATGTCATTGCGCTCATTAATATATTTTCGGAGCAGCGTTAGCACGTAGAGCAAACGAAAGCAGCGTTCCGTGATCTCGCACCGGTCACTCGTTGCCGCAAACTTCCAGCTTTCGTAGGTGGACAATATTTCATTCGCAAACTCCGCTGCACTGACGAACCAGAGTCTCTCACTACCAATAAATGCACGAAGCCTCACTGAGGAAATCTTTGCATTCGTGGCAATGATCGCGAGCGACTGTGCCTCTTTCAAAAGAAACCACCGAACCACGCTCATAAATATATCTTGTGTTGCCAATACGACCGGATATTCCCCTACTGACCGTTCCTGCATTTCAAAGAATTTCTTAGCACTTTTGACGATTAAATTATGACATTCATCGGGTCCACTGCCAAGAGAGGAGCTCATGAATAATTCCACGCCAGACGCGGTCGCTAAAACCGCTCGAAGCGCAAAGAAGGACGCCGCAACCAGGTGCAGATGTGCCGAAAAACAAGCGCTATCGCCTTCCATGCCATCGTCCCCCCAAGTGGTATGTAAAAATTCATCTAGTAATGCCAGTAGTAGGCGCAACAAGTGGATACCACCATCCACACTAAATGAAGCCATTGAATGCGTAGTACTCTCGTCAATTAGTCCCATCGGCGTCTTCATGATACCAAAGCCCCCCACATTGCCAAGCTTTACCAGTATTTGCTCCCGTACGTAGCGATCTCTGATACCCCACGAAACCAGATTTTCGCTCGATGCCGAGAGCAGAGTAGAAAGAGATATCTGTTGCGCCACCAGTTGGGATACGTAAACTTGTGGTGATGGAAGCTGATGACCAATCCACCAATGACGCAATCTCGCCTTACCCCAACACCGTGTCATCTCTTCCACCGCATCCTCGCTACCGTCCTCTTGCTTACCAAGCTGTACGAGAAATTCGAAAAACGATGTAAGAACATCGATGTCCTCTACGTGCACATGATACAGATCCGAAAATGACCTGGACTTTTGACCAGCCACAAGTCTGTCCGCGCTCAGGAAAAGCAAATCCCACATGGTTGGCACGTACGTGTCTTCACTGTTGTCTGAAAATAGCCAAGTGACCTTCACGTCGTCGCCTGCGCGCACGATCATACCGACTGTATTTACGGGTACCACCAATCGTTCATCTGCACTGTCATACGCAAACGAACGTGTGCACAGCAACTTGTTGTGCTCGCCTTTAAGTTCAGTATAATATTCTGTCGGTGGTAGTGGACGACAAACGTCACGTGTCACCATTCTGTCATCCCTCCTTGCGTGCGGCGTGCTGAAATACCTCAGCACGTGCCGAAGCACGGTTGATGACGAAGCTCCTTGATAATTGCAGCAGAGCGCCGTAAACATTTGCATGCATGAGACTAGGCTTCCCGGTAAACATGCTTGGGTTTTCATCAGTAGCTCACGAAGCGAAGCTACGCTGTCTACCACACAACTGTCTTTCGATTCAATCTCAAAAATCTGCTGCGACACACGAGCATTCGAAAGCGTAGGTAGCACAAACTTCACCATTGCATGTAGCTCCTGAGCATTCTCCAGGTTTTCTATGTAACCTAGCGATGACAGCATGTCATCCAAAAATACTGCCACCATGTATTGATAGACGGGAGCACTGTCACAACAGACGAACGGATCTAGATGAGTCGCATTTACACCATTTAGCCCCGCGGAAACAGCCACAGTGGGTAAGCTCCACAGAGTCTTGGTGTTGAGGCTCAACGGCTGCAAGAATGGCTTCCATCCGGCGTGATCAGCCTTTGCAGAGTGACCACCAAAAATCAACGAGCGCAGTAGCGAGTTTAAGTAGTGAAAGCTATGCAAGCGTTCTGCCGCCGCTAGCGACTGCTGCAATGCATCCTTTAGCTCTTTTACTTCCACGCTTTCTCGATTCAGTTCTGCTAGCTTATGATATTGTCGACCCAATAGAGTCGCCCAAGCCAGCAGCAGCACCCCGGGCACAGGCGACGCTGGCCGCTCCACGCCCGAAAGTTCACACACTTTTGTCAAAAAGAACGTCTCTGACGCGTGGAGCAAAGCCTTGTGGTCTAGCGCATCTACCGCCGTATGCAGCATCCTCAATGCCACCAAAACTCCCACATGCGTCAATTTCCTTGCCGCCCGCTGCGCCCTCGGCAGCGCCAGCGTACTGTCCATAATGAGCTCATTTAACACCTGAACGTCCCAATTATACACAGCCTTAGCAATGGTTACAGCACGTTCCAACGTCGCGTTTTCGCCAGAATACTCCAGCGTTAGCAGCAACAACTCCCTCAACAGCGCTTCTTCTTCCAGAAATTGCACCTCCCACGCCACAATTGCCTTGCGCTCTTCCTTGCCAACGCTTTGGAAACTTGGCGCCTGACAGAACTGACGGCTGTGCACCTCGTCCAGCAACACGTCGCCCAGCCCGTCCTTCAATAGCTTGTTTACAACCTCTCCAGCTGCTTGGACGTTCGGGTGCTGCACGTTCCTTGCAGCCCGCAGTAGCTCAATCCGGACTGCGAAAAAGTCGCGTCTTGCTTCAAAGTACATTTGCCTCAAATGGTCAGTATCCAGCGTGCCATCCTGTGATTGGTCCTCCTGTCCGTCCAGCTTCTGGAGCGTCTCGAGCGCTCGCCGGAGCTCGTGTGGACCACCTGAAGACGGAAGTTGCACACTCGTCAGCAAAAATTTCCATTTCGTAGCCTCGTCTGACTCCAAATCACTCGATACAGTTTCCACGTTGCCGTCTTTTAACGTCGAAAACAACGGGAACGAAGCGGGTTGAGGTGTGGACGGCGGCGTGACGCCGCCGTCCACGCCGCCCACACGTCCGCCCAGCGGCACCACTCCATCCACAGACCGTATCGTGTCCAGCACACGCTCCACCGGCAACTCGTCGCGTCGACAGCGTCGTAGCCACGACAAAATCCAACGCGGCGACGTACCCATCGTGCCCAGCAGTCCTCTTTGCCAGTGAAAAATGATTTGTGGCATTTTGTGTCTGCCACACCTATTGTCGCCAATGTATGTATCGCACATCAACTCAGGCCCTTCATTCCCTGTCGAACTCGATCCATCTACGCGCCGGTTCACCTTGTCGCGCGCTGATTCGTCGAAAATTCATCGAATTGCAAAAACGCACAAGACGTCAAGCCAAGCTGCTTGCGTCGCCTCCTTCCTCGCTTCTCCCGCCCTATACGCGCCGCTAGCATCCACCGTGTCGCTCCCGCTGCATCGTCATCACGCTGGCGACCACGCTCGACGGTAGCGCGGTCTGGGACGTGCTTGGACCTTCTGCTTGGGGATTTGGGGGCCGTTTAGTTGGCCGCATGGCTCAGTTCACACATGGCATTTCAGCGCTGGACGTGACGCCGGCGTCGGCGCTCTCTGCGCCCGTGTGGCTGTTGGGTCGCCGCTTCCAGGACGTAGCAGCGACGGACTTTGAGGCGTACAAGCGCGCGTTTGAATCGATCTTGTGGTTCACCTACCGTCGGGATTTTGTACCCATGACGCCGTACGAGTTTTCAAGCGACGCAGGGTGGGGGTGTATGCTGCGCTCAGCGCAGATGTTGCTGGGTCAGGCGCTCCAGCGTCAGTTGAATGGACGACTGTCGCTTCGGACGGCAGTTGAACTGGAGAGTGGGGGGACCTTGTCGGAGATAGATGTGAAGCTGTTGATGTGGTTTGCTGATGCTCCGGATAGTGCGTGTCGGTACTCGATCCATCACATGGTGCAGATGGGGATGCACTATGACAAGCTCCCGGGGGAGTGGTATGGACCGACTACTGCTGCTCAAGTGCTGCGGGATCTGGTAAATCAGTACCGACGGGATTGTGGCGAGACACTCGCCATGTACGTGCCACAAGAAGGTGTCGTGTACCGGGATGATGTGACGCAACTTTGTGTGTCGCATCTGGAAAAGGAAGCGGTGGAGATGAAGGAGATGGAAATGCAGGACGGGCCGGCGTTTTTTGACCCGTTGCTGCATCCACCGGCGGTGGATGAGTGTCGAGAGTGGAGCACGGCGCTGCTGATTCTGATTCCGCTTCGACTGGGGTTAGACCAACTGAATGAACGTTACGTTCCGGCTTTGGAGAAAACTGTTTACGTTCCCGCAGAGTGTGGGGATTATTGGTGGCAAGAGGGGACACTCGGTGTACTTTGTGGGCACGCAGCAAAACCAATTACATTTGCTGGACCCTCATGACGTGCATCCGGCGCCAGAGTTAAATGCTGCATTCCCTACTGCGGTACGGTTGTTTTTTGGTAGCAGGGAGAAGATTTATTTGGATGGGTGGGACGGAGCTGACTTGTTTCTCTTTCGTGGATATTCTAATATTGTTCTGATCGTACGCAGACTCATTTGCGCACGGTCCACTCCTCACGCCCGCTGGTCATGGATGTGAATTCGATCGATCCGTCGTTGGCACTTGGGTTCTTGTGCGAGAACCGCGCTGATTACGAAGACTTTGAGCGTCGTGTTCGCATTCTTCATGACGAAGTAAAGGCCAGTGGTGACATGTGCCCGTTTTCAGTTGCCAATTGTAGACCTGATTACACGGGAAGTGGTGGTGATCTCTTGATACCGGATTGTCTTTCTGGTGACGACATGAACGAAGACGAGCTTGCGAGTGCCAATGGCGTCGTTTCAGGAGAAGACGATGATGATGAATACGTGCTTTTATAATGTGGTAGGAAGTGACCACGTGCACGGTGCGGGCTGTCCGCTGGCGCGGTTATAAACTCACTTTTGTATCATACGCGGCTTGTTTCTCACTCGTTGGCCAGTTTTGGAGCAATGCGCGTAGTCCGATAGGAGCCCATGTCGCTTATATATGCTACCCTTTTGAGGACAGAGGCAATGTGACCAGCAGACGTTGCAATATGCGATGCCAACATATTCGACCATAGACGCTTTGCAGGCTATGGTGGTAGTTTTTTCGTCGGTCAAATGCTATGCATATCCGGAATGATTCGCAAAAAGAACGCAACTCTAATGGTCATTACGTCATGCTTTGGTCACGATAAGTGGTTTCAAGTGGAACATAAGCAACACAGTAAGTGGTTGCTCATGGACACTAGTTTCTCAAATTCTGTCAGGGTGGCACAACTTGATCAAACATTATCAAGCGACGAACTAACGTCAGCTATCGCTTGAAAGCTTAACGAAGTTGCGCTTAGCGCAATCCTCATCGCACACTTTTGATACGGCTGGAATAAGCTGCCAACCATGATACATACTTGAAGCTTACCTGCAAATTCTGCTGTGACCAATGCCACACTGGTAACATTGATGATGAATTGCGTAGGATTTGTTCAGCGCGTATTCACTTGATGCAAGATACTCTATCGCATAGCATGAAAATAGAAATGAAGCCGTGATCGGCTACTCAAAAGTCGACCGGGCGGGCGCTCGTGTTAGCACTTACCCTTTCCAATTCATTCAAAGCAACTAAGTTGCACTGTTATATATTGACACGGCATGGAACAGTAATCGCTTTTCAACAAGGCCATTGTTAGCTTGATCATCGCTCTCTCGCATCTGTGCTTGCGCAAGCTCAGCTTTGATCAATGCACTTCTTCGTCAAGTCAGATGTATCAGTTGCAAATCTGTGGATGTTACACGAACGCAATCTACTTTATCTCTGAGTAGCCGATTGATGTGCACCATACGTATCTGCTTTGTTGAATCGGTAAGTCATTGATCTACATGCATCCGTTGTTGTCCTGGGATCTGCACTTACCCTTTGTATTATGTCTTCTGTATAGAAATCTTGTAAGGATCGACGACATATTTTCACATCAAGAGATTTCTCGTTTTTGCGCCGACTGGATGCAGGCTTTGACCGAGTTTGGATTTGCACAACAAATTGAGTCGCTTCGTGACGTAGCATGTCTTCTAAAAACAATCACTTGCAGGAACTGACTTATTGTCTCATATGCGCCGTTTGTTTTTAAAATATGCTACCAAGCCTCAGGATTACTACGCCTTGACCACTTTCAAGATGTATCCACCGTCAAGAGCCTCGTCGCCTCACTAAATCTCTCTCTGTTTTACTCTTGCTCTCTCACAAAGGCCGCATGGATTCTTTGACATGTCAAGTAGTCTCATTCACCTTTACTGAATCGAACACGAGACTATTCGTAAGCCATCGCGCAACCTTACGACATAGCCCGCTTCTATGAGGCTGGGGCCACCACCATCTCGATGGTTGCTTCATGGATGTAAGACATGCATTTGTTCTTATCCGCTGGTGCATTATCTCGTTCAGTTCGTGCATTTCCCTCTGATGGTGCTGCATTGACTCTCTCGTTGAGGACGATCGTAGGCAGCTCATTTAGCACATGCAGAGCATTAATAGCGCATGGTATGGAATAGATATCTACCGACAACCTTTCTGATTTCCTTAAAGTAAGATACATTAGGTTGCAATCCAATGAGTTCCCCTCAGGCAACTTTTGCCATCAGTCATACGCTCGAACAAGACATGTTGCAAGGTACAACGAGAAAGGTGAACCCCAGTTAAACGAAAATGTCTATCCTTCGTCGTCTCACACTGGTTTCCTATGACCTCGTCTATGACGTTGTCCTTGTCCCAGCCAGTTGATGTTGTACAGATCGACCTTAGGCCCGAACACGTATTCTGGTACCCATCTTTCACTGAATTTGATTTTACTCGCACACTGATCTTTAACTGTCAACGACACTTGGTCCAACGGTGATAGCCTTCCACATATCAGCTGTGCACCACCAATTTTGATCCTTACAGATTATTTGACTGTCCTCATTCAGTGTAGGTACCGTATCTCGGTCTTATGTGCCACACACACACAGCGCGTGTCCGTCGCAGAATTATATGCAACTCCTTACGGTTCGAGACACGCTTCGAGAAAAGGCTAGACGATCATCGACATTTATTCGAGAAAGCGTATTAATTTGTCTAACAAGTTCCCATTAAAGGCCATTTGGCGAGGTGTGTGGGCCGCCTTTATTTGTATCCTGGCAGACTTGTCACCGCAACGATAGCCGCACCGATGACTTATTTTGCTGTTGGTTGGGCTGCTGTGCAAGATCTCGATTTTTTTGGTTGTACCGATAAAGTACTAGGCACGAACTGTTGCGCCGATCAACTTGATATTGGCGACAGCGATACAACTACTGTGACATCATGATAAGAATGATCACACGAACAGTATAAAAAGAAGAAGCCGTGAACGTGTCGGCCGTAGGTTTTGTTGCACGATGAAGTAATTGATCCTGCATGTTTTTACGAACATAAGACGCATGTGTAGTCATTGTAAAAGATCGTTATTGACGTAAGATGCTTCTATCACACATTTGACGAATGAACGGTAAGGTGTCGTCTAGCTGAACTCCAATACATGTATAGCAAACCAGCCAGTACTTACCAGTATGATCCGTTTCGGTTAAGTAAGACGACTTGCGCTTACAGTCAAAGCCATGTCTACGTTGATTGATCGATAGGCTGTTAATAGGAAGCAAAATTGAAATTTGCGATCGTAGAACTTGGAATGTATCAACAAATTCAATCCATTCAAACATCGCTCATAAAATTTGCTCCACCGATTCACATAATGCAAAAGTCATATCGCTCTTCATACATTGAGTTGCCGAATACCTTCGCTTAGGCTAATTTAATATGCTGACACTGGTATGACGGTCAAGTCCGCGTAGGCCCAAGATGTATGTTGTTTTGCAATCAAGGATCAAGAGATAGTTTCGATTGGGTATAATTGCTTGGTGTATCTTCGACAGCGCAGACCATAGGTGGCGCATGCTCACAAATTCGGACAGTCTGTCGGCACTGTCGGTACCGACACATGACGTTGTTCCAGGAGGATGTCATTCAACCTTGCTCGTGTAGAATTGTCAGTGAGAATCAGATTAATGTTAAAAGGTACTGATTTTGAAAGGTCATCAGGATTTGAAGTCCAGTCAGTTACAGGTAATATGCGAATTCAATTTATCGACTGTCTTGTTGTGGCATCTTGACTGATGGATTCGGGAGAGACGGGCGCCATGTGATGAGATGACACATGGGACAGGAGGAGACGACCACCATGTGTGACTTAATCTGGTCAACATGGAGTACCGTTGGAAATGGATGTTGTAGTGTTGACGGAAAAGAGTAGTTAGCACTTATGTGGTCATTTTTACTTCTTACACCTCTTGCACAAGTGCAACTACGACTACATTCTTACAATTACGTCTTTATCAGCAAAAGACTGCATACGTACTCTTATCACCTAATCGCTGGTCTCATAGAAAAAAGATTCGCCATTCGGGTAATGTAACGGGGCTAGCGAATCACATGTAATCAATTTTGATACTTGTCATTAGAACTTTATCACAAATGTTGATACCGTTTGTGAATATACCATAACGGGTAATACTCTGAGCACTCACCGATTCGCTGATATGTGCTATTATATCAGCCAGCTCTAGCGGTCCAATCAACGATAGACGTGCGTAATGAGTGGCGAGCGAGACTTAGCATACCTTTTTTGTAGATAAATGTAGTCGAGTTAGGACTTTACATAGGTACATTGATTTAGGACTTAATTGTATTTAATACAGTTTTACATTCTACTCCTAATGCACGCATCGTTCACTAGCTAGCCTTCCTCTGCACGTACGGTGCACGTGACGTGACGCGCGGCACTACCTACACTGTTGTCAGTGTAGGTGCACTAGTACTGAAGCAATACTAGCAACCATTGCCCCATTACACCTGGTAGCACTTTGTAGTCCGTCCGAGGACCTCAACCCCTGCATCCAACATGAACATGTTTGGATGATGATAGTGACAGATTTCACGCCACGCATGAAAGCTACATCCATTTGAGTGATATCGAATGGAGTGCGGTTGAACGAACGGGTTCGACCGTGGTATAATATGCCGTCTCTGCCATGCTGTCCGCAATGGAAAGAGATCGGCATCATGCAGCCGTCTCCAGGTTCATACAACATGAGCTTGACGAGTCACGAGAGAAAGTAAGATTGCTCTAACAGTAAGGCATCCAACAGGCAGAGCTGTTGAGAGAACAGGGTGCTCGACAATTTGAAATGTTGAGACAACAGCAGGCACATGCGTGAACCCGAAACTTTGGAGGTAGAAGTCTCAACGTACACAGGAGTCAAAGAAGGCTTCCTGCTACGATGGATGTCGAGTTTGACGACACCACAAGGGCTTGTCACATCGTCGATGAGCAAATGTAAGTCGCATTTACTCAGTCGATAATATCTGGCTGGACGTGCCAAACTAGTGATTAGGGCTCAGAACACAGGATCCATATGTGTTTGGTCTTTGGAGGTCTTCAAGACTCGGCTCAGACAAACGCTTGACTTACCAACGGGTGAGAGGAACTCTGGATCTCAAGCAGGGTAAGCGCGATGTGCACACTTGCGCCCAACACGAAGACTATTTGCGAGGTATATCGCGGCCAATCCGATTTATGAACACGCATTGATCACTGTGTTCATGCAGATTGTTACGGATGGTCCCGTCAAGCCTCACCTGTTCCGCTTGGAACTGGATACGCCAAAAGAAACGATGTCAGGTGTGGAACAGGAGATTATAGCTTGATACAGGCTTATGATGGTTCAGGTTTATGTCGTCCCCCAAGACGACAAGAAGTCGGAGGTCCGGAACCTATGGACCTCCTATATGTTGAGAGCGAGAAACTTCGCTCTTCGGTGAACAAGCGATTGCTGAAGTGCACTCGCTGTCTGAAGTTGGAAAACTACGCTTACCAGTGTAGCGGCCTACGCCCAGTGTCTCGAAACACTGAGCGAAACGCTCAACCATTTGCCAAGAAGGGCGACGGACGCGGTTCGAACGTCGTTGCAAAATGGCAACAGCGTAGCGGGCCGTCAAAAACGGTCAGGATCAGTAGAAGCGGAGTGCTCTGCTGATCCAGCAACCACAATAAAAATTTGCAAACCTACGGATGAGATTGGGTCCATACTTACACTAATTGTGTGTCTGCAATTATGAATGAGGGATACCTCATCACCTCGAAGCTAAAATGACAAAAGGATTTTCACTTCGTGCCTTTGTTCACTGTGGGGCGTCGAACAAATTTGTTCGCCAACAGTAGCTAGAGGATCTTAGGCTCGATTTTGTGAGCACGATACCCCTTCAGACGAGGATGACGGTGCACCTAGCAACAAACGCATCGATAATTTTGATAAAACGTATAGTAGGACTTTACTACATGCTAAAAAATTTGCAGTACAATGATGAATTTATCGTACATGATTTGTATTACAAGTTTGATGTCATCCTAGAGGTACCTGGCTCCGAAAGTGCGAATTAAACTCAGCCGGCAACATCGAATCGTGATGATAACTGCCACTTGTTCATCACATGGCCATCTGATGAACATATTGGAGCGCTCACAAGCGCTTGGATGTACTGCGAGTGAGTTTGATGTCCTCAATTGCGGTACGGTCCTCAGTACGACAACACAAGATCACAGTATGACAACCAATCACACTGTGGAGGGAGCTGCCAGGGGCTGTGCGGATGCACAGGAAGCGCCGAAAAGCCACCACTCGAAAAAGTTGAGTGGATCGGGACATAGGTGTACGCCTAATGGGAGACATCCAAAAAGAAATAAACTGGTTGCCCACATTGGGTAACACGATGATCTTAGATCGGCTGAAGAGTCGATCGCAGGACTCAGATGCGGTAGCGCAACCACAGATAGGAGAAGTCGAGGAAATGATGCCCCACGTACTTGAGGAAGATTATTCTCAAGAAGTTATTGATAAGATAACTGGATCTTATCAGCATGAGGGAATAAGTACCTCGCAGCCTGTGGAAAATTGTTTTCAGGGAGAAGCCGAGATGTCGAATGTCTTGGTTGATTACCGGTCAAGTGGAGGCGCTGTTACGCTTGATCTGATTGTGCCCCTGAAGTTGAAGCTGGAGATCACACAATTGTTAGCGCTAGAACCGAATCAGGCCTTGCTATATCTGTGTAGTGGCAAAGTCAAGCAAATCTGTAGACTCGTCAAAGAGGACGAGTACGTGACCGACATTCAGTAGGCAGTTGTATTTGCCAAGATTAGCCGCTTCTCAGCAGATTATCGATCGATGAAAGTGTTCTCGATGAGAAGACTCGGATTTAGCGATATGCGTCCCAATTTAAGTAGTCGCTTCAGCTGATTACTTTATACAGAGATTTGATCGATTTCAAGGACGTGTTTCCTGATCCGTGCCATGCGAGTTACCCAAGGACAAAGGCACCCGACACTGGATCGAGCTCAAATCGGACCAGAAGCACTGTGTCATGAAAAGCAGTGGCCACTGCCTCGCGAAAAAATACTAGAGATCTACAAGTTCTTTGCTAATCGCTTTGCAGCGGACCATCTGAAAGAATCAAGTTGCCTTCACAGCTGTTTGACCTTCTGTGTGCGAAAGGCCACAGGGAGATGGCGGATAGTGCACGCGTTCAGCAAATTGATAGCTGCAACGGTACTAGCTCAGACGCCGATACTGAGGAAGGACCTAATCGTAGATGGTATGTCAAAAAGTACTATCTTTTTGTCCACGTATCTGATGGATGGATTCTATCAGATCCTAGCGCGTAAACGAGGCATCCCGTACACGGCAGTAAGCACCCCCAGCGGCATGCTGTGGGAATGGCTAGTGATTCCATAGGGGATGAGTGATGTCATGTAGACTGAGTGATGACATAGGGGCTGAGTAACGACCCTGCAACGTTTAATGGATGTGTAACCAATCTGTTAAGACTGGTGATAGAATTCGCACCTAGTTGGTTTGAAGATGTGTTCGCTCATAGCCGGGCTATGGATGGAAAGGCGTACGTAGAGGCTCACAGAACACACCTTCGTCAGGTGCTTACACTTATGCAGAAGCATGAGTTGTACGTCAACCTCAAAAACTGAACATTCGCTGCTAGCAGGATACCTCTTCTTGAGTACATCGTGGGTAAACATGGCGTACGCCCTGATCCGTAAAAGATCAAGGCGATCACCGACTGGCCTGTGCCAATCGATGTCAAGGGACTTCGAAATGTCCTTGGTCTAGCGGCGTACTTACACAACTACTCGCGCAACTACGCTGTGATGACCGTATGTCTCTCTCAACTTTAAAAAAAGGAGAAGTGGTCATGGAACGCTGATTGTCAGCATTCCTTTAAAGGTATCAAGGGAAGCTTGATGCAATCGCCAACATGGGCGATTGCAGATCAGGTCAGACCATTCCACGTGGTCTGTGACGCCAACGATTTCGCAATCGTCTGCTATTAGTCGCGTCAGCTGCACGCATCTATGCGTAATTCTCCAGTGCATGAAAAGGAACATCTTGCCATGAAGAACGCACTGGCGAAGTTTCGCGTCTATCTTCGAAAAGATGGACCGTTTGTTGTCTGTACGGACCATGCGTCATTACGCACGGCCGTAAACGGTCAACGCCTCTCGCAAAGGATGGCGAGGTGGCTGTACTGCTTCGCGGAGTACAACTTCTCTGTGGAGTACAAACCCGGACGACTAAATGTTATCGCGGACGCGATATCACGTCAACCGACTTCGAGTCGGCTGCGCTTCTGACAGTGTACCACTGTTGCAACACTAGTCCCTAGTGCTCCGCCGTCAACATCGCTTGACGACATCAAACAGGCCTACGTATAAGATAAGGTTGTTCTACGACTAACGGATCAATCTGGTGACCTCATCACGTAGATCTCTCAGAGATTTACCGGCCATCATCTGCGGTTCGATACAGAACACGTAAGACGTTGCTGTACTATGCAGCCGTTGAAGGTGGCACAACTCGTGTTATCGTCCCCACTCACAACGATTTGCGCCTGCGCATCTTGCATGAGTGTCATGATGGTGTCCAGTGCGCATCGTGGGCGTGAGAAGACTTATCTCACGGTAAGTCGCGACTTTTACTGGCCCCGCTAGTAACAGTTTGTGCGCAGGTCATTTGTGCTTGCGAGGTGTGCCAACGGGTGATTTTGAAACCCAGAGGAATTTTTTGCCATTTAAGTATCAAAGTACAGTCGGCGGACCACTACAAAAAAGTATCTAGAGTTTGTTGATTGAGGGATTTTTGCTGAAGAATTCCCACCTGATTCTGCATCTTCTGAAGTATCCCTGGAAACTCGTCTCCAGTCTCCTGCTGCAACCGGAATATCTTGAGCTCTGCAAGCATCGATGCAGCGCGTCGAAGAGAGACGGGCGCTGCAGCCACGCTATCGTCCTCCTTGCTAACACGTGTAGCACCCTTCGCGTCAACCTATCCTCCTAACTCTGCTTTTTAATAACTCTCTTATCTAATCAGAAATCGGCGGTCCGAGCCGTATTAAATAAGGAAGACTCAGCTGTACGAGGCGTCGTCGAATCCGGCGACGGGACTACAACCAGATCATCTTCAAGCCGCGTCCCATCATTACAAACCTCGTGACACACAATCAGGCATCACGTCCATCTGATAGGATGCAGACGCACCACCACTACCCTCACCTCCAAATTCAACCAGCCAAGTCGAGGCTGCAGCCTACCAGCCACCACCACAACTATCACCATGTCATATCACCACAACTGCCACGCCACTTCTTGGTTCGACTTGACCACGTAACCACCACTATACACGGAATCAATTAATCAAATCGAGAACTCTCCTGAATGAGCACCCACGACAACGTTCGCCCACAGTTCCAGTTTCACATCCGATACAAACAACACGTCAAACAGTCACAACAGGCGGTCCCGTCCGCCGCGACTGTATCCCGCCCGAGTCGGATGGAACACACGGTTCCGTTGTCGTATTACTCGCGCTTGTACTTCAAGCTGCGCTTTTTACCCGCGAGACCACCATCAAATTCCATCATCCCATCCCCTCTGTCTGCACCGAACACACACTTCCCCAAAAGCACCCCCACACGCATACAAAAGCACCAATAACTTTGTGTATCTCTGCTCCCTCCCTCCCTCTGTCTGACTCTCTCGGTATCTTGTCCCCTTTGCATCATTCCTCAATTCGCCAGCGTCAACGCCGTCCATCCATTTAACCACTTGACCAACTCGCCCACCACCTGCCTCTTCCTCCCCTCGATCCCCTTTCAACAATGCGCTCATCTGCTGCCCGTCGCCTCTTCTCGCAATCCCCTCACCCCCGACGTCGCCGCATCCTCGTGACGGGAGGCACGGGCCAAATTGGCATGGAACTCGTGCCGTTTCTCCGCCAAGTGTTTGGCCACGACACGGTCGTGAACTCCGATATCAAAGCTCCTCTCGGTGCTCACGACCCGACGTTCGCCTATTGCGACGTGCAGGACTCGACGTCCATGGCTCGTGTCATTGCCGAGCAAGGCGTGGACACGATCGTGCACATGGCGTCCCTATTGTCCGCAGTAGGAGAGACAAATCCAGCTTTGGCTTTAGCGGTGAACACCCGCGGGATCCAGAACGTCCTGGAGCTGGCTAAGAGTCACAAGTTACAGGTCTTTGCCCCGTCCACGATCGCCGTCTTTGGCCCCTCGACGCCTCAGGACGAGACGCCAGACGTGACCATCATGCGACCTACAACTATGTATGGTCTCACGAAAGTCCACCTGGAGCTCTTGGGCGAGTATTACTATCAGAAATTCCACGTGGATTTCCGCTCGGTCCGGTACCCCGGCATTGTCTCGTCAGAGGCGATGCCAGGGGGAGGGACGACAGATTACGCCGTCGAGATTTTCTACCATGCCCTCAAGCACGGCAAGTATACTTGTTTTCTCGAACCAGAGACCAAGTTGCCCATGATGTACATGCCCGATTGCCTCAAAGCGACGTTGGGGCTAATGAATGCACCGAACGAGTGCTTGCGTCAACGGACGTACAATATCACGGCTCTTTCGTTCACGCCTGCGGAAATTGTCGCGGCTATTCAACAGGTACTGCCGAGTTTCCAGGTTGACTACAAACCTGATTTTCGTCAGCAGATTGCTCAGACGTGGCCCCGGTCGCTCGATGATAGTCGCGCCCGAAAAGATTGGCAGTGGCAGCACGACTTTGAGCTGGACACGATGGTGGCAGATATGCTCGAAAAGCTCGACGCGAAACTGTCGAAACCGGACTGTCGGGTTGAGGAGATGGCGTGAAGGTACCTGGTCAGAGTAAAAGGCAGAAGATGATGGAGTGAAGCAATAGATTCGGACCTGTCCTTTCAAATGTATCGAGGTACGGAACTGGACTGGAAAGCTGACTTTGCTGGACGAAGTTGACTCGATGACATAGGCCTGGAAGGCAGAACAACAGGTTGGAATCTCTCCGAAAGAACGTGATAGACGACGAACCGGTTCAAGTCCTCGTGTATTATTTCTCTTGCCATTGCTGCTCGATCTTCTTCACGTTTGTCGTTCGTATCAACGCCCTTTTGTACGCACTTTTGCACAGGATGAAAACCACCTCCACGCGCATGCCACGCTCTCTCTCTCTCTCAGTCTCTGCTTCTGCACTGTGGATCCGACCGATAACTCTTGCTGCCGTTACATGGTGACATTGAAGACGGGATTGTGGCGCGCAATACGCGGCCCCTCTTCCTCGTACTGAGCCTTCGTGTGGCAAACCCGGTAAAAGTCTGGAGTCGAGGCGACCATGCTGCCACCAAACCACACGGCAAACCGCTGCATGCGGTGCGAGAGCACATTCACCTCGAGAGCTTCCGCATGAGCCTGCTGGAACTTGGAATGCAGAGCCAGATTGGCTGCCTGTCGGTCGTCTGCAAGGCGCTTGATGTCCCGCTGCAGTCGACGGCCAAAGTCCTTGAACATGGTGCTCCCGCCCGACAAGACAATGTTCTTGTACAGTCCACGACGCGTATCGATAGGGCACTTCAAAATCGCTTCGTCCACGACGTTTGGCAATGGCGTCGTAAAGTCCGTCGAAAAGATCTCGGGGTTAAAGAAAATCTCCGGAGCTAAGAAGCGTTCGTAGCCCACGTCAATCTCCCATGGCTGCTTCGTCCGTGGGTGCAAGTCCGAGTACTTCAAAAAGAACTTGTCCGGCTTGGCATCGTACTTTTTAAACTCCTTGACAAGGTCCGAGCACACGTAACTATGCGCTTCTTTCACGCGCTTAGCAACTTCCAGTGACTCTTCCGGTGGCACAAGTTCACCACGATCACGCAGCATCTTTTGGATGAAATGCGTCACATCACGTCCTGCCAGGGGAATGTGACGGATGCAGCTACCAATCACGTACCCTTCAGCCACTGGAATGACGTGCGTCACGCCGTCTCCTGAGTCAATGACGGTGCCTGTAAGCGACCGTTGACTCGGGTCTTTAATCTTGGGCCACGAGGCATAGAGAGCCAACACAGCTTGGACAGCAATGTATAACCCTGGTACATTAAACGTCTCGAACATGATCTCAGCCGTAGCTTCCCGGTTCTCTGGAGGGTTCAATGGCGGCTCCGTCAAGAGCATATAATGCTCCTCAGGTTCGCACCGCATGTGCTGGAACAAACAGCGTTGCCAGAGCTTTTCCATATTATCCCAATTGTGGATAATTCCCTGAGCAATCGGATAATTCACATGGTGCGTCGACGCGTGCGTCAGCGCGTCGTGGCCGATGTGGAAATCCAGATCGTCAATGCCCTGGCGACTCCGCACGGAGCTCGAGTCGTTGCCACTCACAGCGATTGTGGACGGGATGATGTAGCTCGGCTCGGCATTGCCGGCGTAACCCATTTTGGTATAGCTGTCAAAAATAGCATTGATTTAGAGAGTTTTACGAAAGTTTTAGACATGGATTTTTGACACGTCACGGAGATATGATTAATTAGGGGTTGTGACAAGCTGAGAGAGAACGTGACAGAGAGAGAGAGAGAAAGGAACGCACCCCGTGCCATTGTCGATGACAACCGTGGGTTTATGTGATGCCATAGCGGTCTGGGAAGAGCTGCCGACGTGTGCGCGGAGCCTGTCGCGATGTTAGGGTTCTAGAGCCGCCTCCCTTGATGTCGTCGGCTTGAGGGATTAATTGAGGTCGAAAGAGACCGGCTCGAAAAATGGGACCTAATCGAGAAAAAGGGGCTGCGAAGGTGAAGGTTTTGGTCATAAATGACTCGTTTCAGGTGTCGTCTTGCTTTATAATAGGGCGATTTGGGAGCGGGTTTGAAAATATCCATTTTTACACGTCGTGACATAAACGACAGTATCAATTCTAAGTGCATTATCAAATGTCGCATCAAAGTCGTGAGCTGCTGAGGACAGATTGTTTTGCTCAAAAGGATATTGTTCTCTATTGCAGATGTTTATGTGATCGCGGGCAGCAAAAAGTAACAGGTCGAATGGGCATGCTGGAACGATGTATCTGTAGTCTGCATGGAAGCATGGTAAGTAGGACCGGCGTGATGGATGAACATGCCGTATCGAAAGTGACACAAAGGACCTGCACTCTAAAATGTCAAACTTTACCGACATGTGAGCCAGTGTCAACCATGTAGAATTTGTCAATGATAAAAACGTTTTCTTTATGCTTTCTCGATAAAGTACGCCCTGTAGGTACCAAGAACGCAAGTGGGTGTTGAGATCAGTGTTCACAAGGACGTGAGGTGCGTACTTATTACAATGTGAAACACGATGCACATTGGCTGTGCAACTGCCACAATAATAGGGTGTTTAGCGATTTGACTATTCCTGTCGTTATGATGCTCATGTTTTGGGTCGCTTATTACGTGGTTTTGGGCCGCATAACATGTATGGCTATGAGACTCGGTCGATGTTTCCTTGCTCCTCAGTCAGCCATGTGCTACAACTGCGTTGGAAAGGGCTCCTAGACAGTTTTTTTGCGTGGTGTGATCTTACTTGAGACAGCACAGGCGCCCTGCTGCGCTGGAGGATGAGTTATCCATACCAGCCTAAACTCGAAGATGTAGACGTCTCAAAAGACACTGGGATTATGGTCCGGATGGAGGGTTCACGTCTTACTCTTGCAGCATTCAGGCCATAATTTGTACCGATTCCAGGCTTCTCGATGGACGCAAGGGGAAAATGTGTCGGTGCTTCTGATACTATCTTGCAGGAGCGTTTATTCACTGAGCGAAAAGGTTTCACGCGGTAGATACGAGCATTGGGTGGACCACTATTATTACGGAGCGATGCACGCACTTGATGCATCCTACACTTCATGTTTACCTACAAGTCCGATTCTTGCTCATAGTAGGAATCAACCAGGTCGTTCCAGGGGCTTTTGCGGTTGCTTATCGTCAGTTTGCGATCATCCTTTTTTCGTGACATGCTATTGCTCGATATCAACCTTCGAGATTACAAAAATAGATCACCAGCATATGGCAAAGGCCTTCAACTCGACTCGCTACACTCACCAGACTACTCACCTCGTTTATCGGGTATTTGCAGAAGTGCCGCAAGATTGCATCAGTGACCAGAGACATCTTCGCTCGCACAAGGTCATTCCGACTAACGGGTGGTGGGCTTCCCACAGCAGAGAGTCTAAATAAAACATAGCATCTATTAAACTTTTTGCTGAACTTCACTAGTGACGACATACAGCACTCATGAATCATGACATTGTCACACTCAAAGTACAAAAGTCCGAGTAAAAAGCTTTCCAAGGTGGAAGTTTCAATCAATGCATGCAAGAATCTCATGAGTAGCACGAAACGCGGACTTTGTAGAGCGCGGACGCACTATATGCAGTGCACCCACCATCTTCTAGAATCATTCAGGGTATCTAAAGCGATGATGCACCATGCGTGCGCATTCCGCTTCTTTTCGGAGAAAACGTCGATGCAGCAACACTTTTGCTGATGCATCAGCTGAGCCAACAGATTACGGTCTAACGACCTACAGTCTTCGCATCATTGATTAGCGTTTCGTCCGGGTGAAAGGCAGTTTGCAACACGCAGGCACGCGCAGCCGTTAATCCGATAATTGGTAACCTCAAGGATGCGCTCGTATTGGATCGTTGTCGACATCTCTACTACATTTGATGCCTTACTGTGTCCTTAATGCTCAGCGATTCGCGCAAAAGCGATGGTCGGTATGTAACTGCACGATCTTGTGCCTGAAGCTGCTGGTCGCTTGACAGTAGTAGTACTCGCTGTCTCGTTTTGCCAAAAAGGCGTCAAAACGTGCTACGATAGGCAGCTCATCGTCCGTTTCTTCGCACGGATTGGTAGATTTAAAGGAGACCGTCTCCAAATACCTACAGCGGATCTACCCGACCCGCAGTAGCAAAGTGGAACCTTCTTCCTGTCCTTTCTGCTTGCTGTCAGCACACATGCTGGCTCAACGAGGCAACTAGCTCCCAATAGGCGCTGGCAACCGACCAAGTGACTAATGATGATGAGCGGCGTCATATTGTTTGCCGTTAGCAACAAAGTGGTCGCTGCGACGGTTAGGTCCATCGTAACACTAAAGATGCCAGCAGCAACACCACAACATCAACAGTACTACGTTGTAGAGTAGAGGTGGGCAAGGGCTCGCTGCAGCTTATAAGGCTAGCTCTTGTCCACGTACACACAAGCAGTCATATCGCTGTTGCCTGGTTTCATTCTACCGTTTCTCTAAACTCACACATCTTCAAAATGAAGATGCGTGCTTAATACTGTGTTCTACAATGCGATCCGTAAACATGGCGGCTTTTCACTCGCGTTTCATCAATTCCCGCAATAGCCGGGCGCGATCGACCCGCATGGACGGTAACAACAAGTGTTACTTCAACGCTATCCCCATCCCTTCGGCAATGCGATTCAGCAGGGAAAGTAAAACAAGCTGTGATCCCCTGGCCCTCCCCCTCCCCCACCTTTCTCCTCCAATCAATTCTCTTTCCGTGTACTGCTATGATTGCATTCATGTCACGCTGTATTTGTATGGCATGCGAATACAGCAAAGCCCTACGAAGAAAAGGGCTATTCTCCCTTCCCCTGACCGCAATTGAAAAAAAAGCAGCCGCCACCCGAGCCCAAAGCGCGCGCGGCAACTCAACTCAACTCAACTCGAGCGGCAAGTTGCAGAAGTCGCAATCTAGCATCCGGACCACCGACAAGCCAAACGCCCCAGTTTGAACGCTCGTTGCCAGCTTTTGCCAAATTTCCGGTACGATACTGCAGCATGCTAATATGACCCCCCAAGCTCTCGCCACGTGGGATTGCACGCTTAACCAGCTGCAGTGGACACTGTTTTCTGTTTCTTTTCCAAGTGATTAACAAGTTTCCAAGTGACATTCACTCTTTGTGTCGCCACGTCTTTGTCCCTACTTCGCTTAACCGCAAGCCGCGTGCCAGCTTGACAGCTTCGATTTCCGCAGCTTTTGGCGAGTCACAGAACGGCAACGGCAACTTTGCGCGTAGGAAAATCGAGGTATTTGACAAATGTTGACGCAACGACAGGCAGCGTTGCCTGTGTGCATAGAAAGCAATGCCTCTTCTTATTACGAATCTGACAGCAGCATCTGTGTTGCATCTGTAGATTCTTTCGTCTGCTCCAGAAAGCAACGCCACAGACGTCTGGCTCGCAGCTAGAAATAGCAACAGCGTGTTGCACTGTTGTGGCGTTGTCGAACCCTATTGCGCGACTTGATAGAAGCTAGCGAGAGACGAGGGTATATTTAGCTACAGCTGGTCACGCGCGAAGCGGCAGGGAGGGAGAGGGAGGACAGAGAGGAGAGAGAGCGAGCGAGCGTGTCACAATCAGACTCGTGGTTTCGCGCTGTTTGCGGTCCGTGTTCGACGAGTAGGGGAAACTGACAGTGTATAGGTGTTTGAAGCGGCATTCTTCGAGCAGACCGACGAGTGACAAGTGCATTTTCAGGTGGGGTTTGGCATGCTTGACATTGTGCATATGCCGTAACGTAGGAAGCGCACTGACCTTTTTTTCGTTTCCTTTTTTCGTGTAGGTGTCGACCGCTCTGTCTGATATATTTCGGTTGTAGACACACACCGGTTCTGTCTGTTCTATTATCTCGACTCACAATGCCACGACCGCCCGCAGACGCAAGTTCCGTGGCTGTGAGTGGCCAGCAAGTTGCAGCAACTCCGACTCTAGCCACTTCGCAGCCACCGCCACCTCCGTCCCGTTTACAGCAAGTGAAAGAGGAGGCTGAGATGCAGCAACTGCAGCTTCAACAACTCCGCCAGCAACAACAGCAGTACCAGCTTCAACAGCAACAACAGGCACAGATGCAACAGCAACAGCAACTCCAGCAGCAACAGCAACTTCAACAGCAACTTCAACAGCAGCAACAACAGCAACAACAGCAGCAACAGCTACAACAGCAGCAACAATATTCCCAAGCAACGGGGTCAACTTCAAGCTCAACAGGCCCAGCGCCACCCACAACCCACAACGTTGTTGCCTCTCAACCAGCTGCCAACGCCGCCGCCAACGCCATCGCCGGCACAGCAGCTACCGGAACTGCCTACGCGTTTCCTCGCAACTCGCCGGAATTCGCGTGCGAAAACGTCGGCGAGCGCGTGAAAGGCAAGCGCCGCAAGTACTGCCCGCACGAAGTGACGGCGCTCGTCTTGGGCGTGCAGCGCTACGCCGACGACAGCTGCCCATGGAGCTCGATCCTGCGCGATCCGCATCTCGGCCACTTGTTCCACGGCCGGAGCGGCGTCGACTTGAAGGACAAGTGGCGGACGCTGATCAAGACGCGGCCGGAGCTCGCGGCGTACACGAAGAACCGCAAGAACCACCGCAAGTACCGCCCGTTCACGGCCACGGAAGAGCGCGCGCTCTTGGACGGCGTGAAGAAGTACAATGGCCAGCGCAACGTCTGGTCGCTCATTTTGATTGACAAGGAGCTCGGCCAGCAGTTCAACGACCGGTCGAATGTCCAGCTCAAGGATAAGTTCCGTACCATGCGGCGGGCAGGCGCGACGTCGTCTTTGTTGACGAGCGAGAGCGGAGCGGCGAGA